AGTATCACAATTCTAGCACTCGGTGTTTTAAATAAGATTGGCAAAGAAATTGCAACACCTGCAATCAAGAGCTACAAGAGGAAAGCTCCTGGAATCTCAGAAGGAGATGAAAAGAGAATTGCATTCTACAAACACTATCAAAACAATTAAGTTGTTTCCTTCTTTAGCTCTTTGCAATGGATTATGTAGTGGAGTTTTTTGCAGTGTGTTAGCTGATTTTCTGTTTGCAGTCAATTTGCAGTGTGTTACAGTGTGGAACCGTGAATGTTATATAGTTGTTTGTGGGAAATATATTGGCTCTTTCGATTATTACGATAATTCAATTTATCTCTTTATGCACATTCACTTGAAATATCATACCTTAGGTTCGGGTATACATACTTATGTTATTGGCCTTGCCGGAGTTGGTTCCCTCTAAATGGTCATTTTATTTGGTTGCTGCCTTTTCTTCTTTCACCTTAGGATCTTCAAATAATATAATGTAACCATTAAAATTTGGAATTGGTTGCTTTCGCTCATATTCATTTGCCTTACAGCCTGTTTTGGCTCTTTCAATCATTGTTTCTCATCGTGGAATTAATAGTGGTAATGTGCATGAGATTTGGAAGTTTTCGAGCAGCTGTTGTTCATATGGTCTGAATCTGAAAGTAATCATTAAGTTATAGAAATGAATCCATGAATATGGTGTGGTTTTATTTTATCTTAAGTTGCAGAACTGAATGCGAGGGCAACTTCGTACTCAGTCAATAGTGTATTTAGGCTTTATTCTTGATTGTTTCTGTGTACTCAAGTTGAAGAATCATAGCTTGCAAGGTTAGTTGAACTGAGACCACAACTTCAACGATTAGCATTGTATAATGCAAATTCCTTCAGTGTCTTGAATTAAGCTCCCCATAGTAGAATTGACTCTTTCATGTGTAGAGAAGAGTTCAAATGTGAGCATCAATGAAGTTCGTGTGCAAACAACGTTGAGTAGATACAATACAAATAATTTGGATTAGCAAACTTTTTTGGAAACTCATTTAAATAGGAGCTAATAGTGTGTAATATGCATGTATTACAAGTCTTCTGCACGTGTATTGCATTGGCTACTATCATGTTTTTACTTTATGAAATCAATTGATTTTACTATTGGGCAGGTAATCAAATGATTTTAATCATGCCAGTTTTAGGGTAGTGTTGTAGATTTCTTTCTGTAGGTTCAGTCATTCCTGTAGTGGAATTCCATCGTGGTACTGCTGCAATTCAGTTCGTGTTTGCTGACAATGGCTTTCACAGAAATATGTCCCGGATGATTAGCTTAACTTGGATCCGCACTTTCAACCATGTATGTTTAAGGGCTTAATTGATAGTGTGTTTTCTATTTGCTTGACCTTTTCTCGATTTAGGTTTACCCTCATTTGGCCTTTCATCTACGAATAAGTTCAGAAGAGTTGAAACGTTCTCTCGAGAGGTTTTTGTGCAGGATGGGAACGATTGAAGACGAGAGGAACTAGAGGCACGAGTCCTGGCAGGGTGCAGTCACCACTCTTACCTTGATGCTAATTATCTTTGCCAACGGATAATCGCTTCACTGCAGTAGGTTATTCTTTGCTTTTATGTTTCTCTTGGTTCGTTTTCTTCATTGATAGATATATCAATTTTAAGTCCATATTTCATCTCCGGTTCGATTTCATCATACAACTTTGCGCACAACCAAACTTGCATCACTATACGTCGGTATCTTTTGTCGGAGATTAATTAAGAGACTAAGAATGATTTCTGTTCTCTTTTGGCTTTGTAAAACTGTTTTCTATTGACCCCCTATTGTGTAGGTTGTGTATATAGGTGTTTGAGTTTGCAAGCATCTTTTCTCTACCTGGTGTGGCGATCATCCAGGTTGTAGGTTGAAGTGTAAAGCGGAGTACTGAAGCTTTAAGGCCTTCCGTATCAGATCCAAAAGAGGCCTTCTCACTCAACCAACCATTGTTACTGACGAATTCTGCAGCCATGCAAACACCAAAATCTAAGTATGCTCCGCATGATTCTCCGATTTCTTATTATTTTATTTCTGTTAGGTTCCGGAAATTCAGATAAACATTTAAGCCTATGATGATTTCTTGCTGGTGCTTTGTTGTTTTATAGATAAAGGGAGACAGTATACCCAACAGTCCACTACTCAAGCATCAAGCATACTAGATGCATCTTCTATTGATGAAGGTATATGTTCTATTATCTTCGGTGTGCAATTTATCTGCAAATTTTTGGTGTTCGTGGAATCACCAACTATTTTCACTTTCAGGCGTACCAAATATGGAGAAATTAAGTGGAGGACGGGTTATTAGAATAATGTGTTCCGACCCATTATCTAAATCCCTTCTCCCTGACACTCAAGCAAGTTTTCGTCGCCATGCTTTAGAATGAAGTGAGTTGAACTTATTATCTGTCGATATAGTATCCTTGCCTAGAGGAATCAAGCAAGTTTTTTGGCCGAATGAATTGAAAAGAGGGATTGAGATATTTAGGAGAATGGTAAGGGATTTAGGTGAGAATTGGGAATATCTATTTGAACCTCAATGTAATTAAGACTACTGTTACCAGTTTTGAACCTCTATTTTTGGTGGATTTTGATGTTTGTTCTTTCTCAACATCAATGTTTCTTTTATCCCCGATAACTGCCATTGAAAAGGGCCCATATTTTAGTCTTTACGAAGTGTCCTTTCGTTTTCGTGTGTCTTAATGGAGTAGGTAGATTTGATGTTACTTTAGTCTCCTTTCAAAACTAAATAGGTAGATTTGATGTTACTTTCGTCTCCTTTCAAAACTTAATATCTTTCCTTAACGATCACTGTGTAGAGGTATTTTGGTGCTGCAATTTGAAAGGGCAAGCAGGCTGTGAATACATGAGTCTTTTTGTTTTGTTTTTTCATTTCAGTAGTTAGCATGGTGCATATTAATGCTCATTACACCAAATGAAGGTGCCATGTACATAATGGATTTGGAATTCGATTCACCCTGCTAATGATGCAATGATGGTGCAGAAGAATCGAGAAGTTGAAGCTTTCAGAAACGACATGCCATGAAGGAGTTCTTCAGTAGCCAAAATGTGGGTGTGTTTTTGCCTTGAGTTCATGTACTGTACTGGACTTATTTGAAGGAGTTTGGAACTCTTCCACTAATGACACAAGTTTCAATACCTACTATCGTTTCCGACCCTCTTTGTATTCGTTGTGCATAGTTTACCATCCAATTAAAACTTTTTTACTTCAGTCTCTTATCTGGAAAGTAAAGATTAGGAATGTTATTTTATCTTATGCAGCATTTAGAAGGTACATAATGAAGCAAAGGATAAGGCCTTCGAACTCGAACTGAGCTGGGTTTGTGATGAGTCAAACAAAGTATACGGTGTTCATATTTGTTTATGCGGTGATAGCAGATTCTTAAAACAACACTTACTTTGATGACTATGTTATGTGCTGATATGGATGATTGCTAAGTTTGTTATTAATAATTACTTCCTGATATGTTGGACATTTTAATATAATTCACTTTTATGCATATACCTTATATCTATGCCACATGCTTGCTCTTGTGGTTCTGGGTCGTTAATCGTAAGGACCAACATGGAAAAAATGATAATTGTGGCTTGGTCACATACATGTTTCTCATATTGAGAATCTGTGTATTAATAAAAAAACCATGAGATTGCCAAACAATTTTGAAGATGGCATGTTTTTAAATAACTACTAATAATATATTGTATGCTTGATAATATGGCATCATGATAATTCCTCTTAGTTCTGTTGTTTGGATGGCTTTGTTGTTTCCTTTTCTTTTATGTCTTTCGTATCAGTCATTTTGAATGCTCGATTTGCCAAATCTAATTTACTGATCTCAATTATTCCAAATTATTGGGGGCCACAAATTTCAAATTCGATAGCAAAACATTTTCATTTTTGACCCCCTTAAATTTGAATCTATCATATTGCGGAGTTATACAAATCTCACATATGTTGAATTTAGATACCAAATGCATAATGAAAATCATGAGTCCTTTCTTTCTGAAGTCATGAGTCTTTTTTCATAAAATCTCATTTCCACCACAGGCGATTGTATATTAGAATCATGAAGTGTTTTATTAAATATAAATTACAAAATAGATACTTGAAATATTTGAGATTTTGGTGAATATAATAGCTTGGGCTATCCTTTTATGTCATTGTCAACTCTTAGAAATCACAAATACTCTTTGTGATACTTATTTTTTTAATTATAATATTTTTAAATTTTTGTTGCCATTTATTTTATAGGAGTAGGCCAAAAAGTTCGAACATATTATATGGTGTTGGAATTTTGTGATATTCTTCGTGATAAGTTCGAAAACACAAATATTCTTCGTGATACTTATATTTTAATTACAATATTTTTAGATTGTTGTTGACCACAAAGGTTTTTTTATTGGAGCTTAACACAAAGTTCGAATAAAGTATACAGTATTCGAATTTTGTGATATTCTTCATATGATACGCTCAATTCGAACACACAAATATCCATTCATATTAACGGCAGGCCTGTCCAATTGAGTTTCTAATTACTACTTGAATGTATATTGTCTTAGTTACGTTCGGGTATAATAGAAAATCAAGTTAATAATGTCAAATATTATGAATAAATACCTCTTATCATGTATGATAACATCAAAAGTACAAAGTTTTATTCTATAATATGAAAAAAATATAGATAGTAGTAATGTAACAATAATCAATCGAAAAAATACCTAAACCAATTCAATAATATCACAAACAACGTGTATAAAAATATTACTTTCAATCCATGCATAGATTATATAAAATTAAAGGTCCCAAATCATTTAAAATGTAAATATATTGATAAAAATAAATTTATGAAATAAATTAAAATTGATCCGACCAACGGGTCGGGTAAAAGCTAGTAAATTATGCTGTTGATACAATTGACCGGAGCCAAAACAACACCCCCCAATGACCCATGAGGCCATGACCCATCCATTAAGGGGCAGACTTAATGGAAAATCTTCTCACAGCCAAAAGGTTTTTAAACGACCTCTTCGGTCGTCTTCAATTTCATAGCAATGCGCCATTGCAGTAGTACATCAATGGAGTCCAGTCTCTCTGCTTCCCTCGGCCTCCCAGCGCCAGACCACCACCGTGAAATGGCCGTTGATTTCCCGAATCTCTTCCCCCAATTCTCCTCCCTGCTCATTTCCCACCAAAACCCACAAAAACCCATCCCTAGAAATAGAACCCTCCCTTTCGCCTCCAGTTCCATCTCCTTATCCACATCCCAACAACAACCCTCCCACAACCGAACCGCCCTCACCGCCCCCGCCAACCTCAAATCCCTAATCAGCAACCTCTCCGTCTTCGAGCGAGCCCTCATCGGAGCCGGCGGGGGCGGACTCGCCGGCGCCTTCACCTACTTCTGCCTCCTCCCTCTCGACGCCGTCAAGACCAAGCTCCAGACCAAGGGGGCCTCCCAGATCTACGCCGGCACGCTCGACGCCGTCGTCAAGACCTTCCACGAGAAGGGCATCCTAGGGTTCTACCGCGGCGCCTCCGCCGTAATCGTTGGATCCGCTGCCTCATCCGCGGTCTACTTCGGCACATGTGAGTTCGGCAAATCGATTCTCTCCAAGTTCGATGACTTCCCTCCTCTGCTCATCCCTCCCACCGCCGGGGCAATGGGCAACATCGTCTCCTCTGCAATCATGGTCCCTAAAGAACTAATCACTCAGCGGATGCAGGCGGGAGCAAAGGGGAGGTCGTGGGAAGTTCTGGTGAAGATTCTGGAGAAGGACGGCGTATTGGGTCTTTACGCTGGTTACTCGGCCACATTGCTGCGGAATTTACCTGCTGGGGTGTTGAGTTACTCCTCGTTCGAGTACTTGAAAGCTGCGGTGTTGAGCAAGGCCAAGAAGGCGCAATTGCAGCCAATTGAGAGCGTGGTCTGTGGAGCATTGGCAGGGGCGATCTCGGCTTCTTTGACAACTCCACTTGATGTTGTGAAGACGAGGTTGATGACTCAGATGAGCAGAGAAGCCAGGGGAGGGGTTGGGGACACGGTGAAGCAGATTCTGATGGAGGAAGGGTGGGTTGGATTCACAAGGGGAATGGGTCCGAGAGTGCTTCATAGTGCTTGCTTCTCGGCAATGGGATATTTTGCATTCGAGACTGCTAGGCTCGCGATATTGGATCAGTATTTGAAGCACAAGGAGTTGCAGCAGGAATTGGATGCTGTTGTTCCAACTTGAAAGTGAAGTTTTATTCTTGATGGTGATCAATTCTTACCCTTTTCTTTATATATTGAAAAGTTGATCCCTTTGATGTTTGTTGTTTCTTACTTTGCAATGGTTGTGTATAGGACTAAAGAATGTGCGGCTATATATCTCCCCATCTATCTATGAGATTTCTGCGTGAACTATGCGTATGAAGCATTTTTAGTTTTGAGTGGTAATGATAGAATAGGATGTAACTATAATTGAGCTAAATTCAGCAGTTGTATAAAATTCTTGTCATCTCGTGTTATCGATAGCGAATTGATGACGTTTTCCTCCTAAGTGGTCATGTTGTTCTGAGGTGCCAACTGTGAAGTATTCACTAGAACTTTGACATGGCTTTCGTAAAAGATGTATCAAAATTCTTGCCATTGATCAAAGTGAACGATGTCAACATATTATGTTATGGACCCATATTTGTCTATGAGTGGATGGCTTTCTTCAGACACGCTGCTCTTGATACAGACAAGACAATGTGTCTGTCGGTAAGATTGTCGTGTTAGCCTGTCATGCTAAGGTGTGCTCTGGTTGCAGCTCTGAAGCAAGTACAATGCAACGGTGTTACAGCAAGATACTGGATTACTGGGTTGAGCTTTAAGGAAACACTTTCAACTCCTGCAGATATTGAGGGCTGCTGATCTGTGACTTTTAGAGGCTTGGAGGCCGTGGCGGATCCAAAATTTTTTTGGAGGGGTGTTCTCTTCCAAAAATTAAATTAAATTAATAATTAAAGTAAATAATACATAAATAATAAAATATCCAATTAGTACAAATGTTGATAAAAAGCCATGATGTGTTTTCATATTTCGAAAAAAAAATATAAGATAGATTTGGTGTCTACACAGATCAATAAATCATTATAGCCTACTAGATCGCATATTCAATTTCTAACCTTGTTCATGATGTAATTCAAAGTTGAAAAGACTGTTTCAACACTTGCAGTGTAAGTGTGTAACCATAAAATCAATTCAAATTCTGGGTACCCCTGGGGATAAGAAATTGTGTTTTTACAGTAGAACAACAAATGAGTTATAACCTAATGGTGAAGATGTTTAATAATAGGAGTGTCATAAATTTGATAACACAGAGTACCCCTTATATTTTTTTAATCATACGCAAACTACTATCGAGGTTAAGATAATCGTTTATTAAAATTTTAGGGTGTCCCAAATTATCAATTATATTTTGTTTATCCATATGAAACTACTACCGGGAGTTGGATAATCGTGTTCCCAAAATTTAGGGAAGCACCATGTATCCGCCACTGCTTGGAGGGACAGGGAGAAGGGATGGGATGAACTGGAAAGAACAGGGTCGTAATCGCTCACAACCTCTCGGATACTCTTGGCATTCACCTCTGGAGTCGAGCAAGTGTGGTCTCCTTCACGGTGGAGACTTTTGACTCCAGGTTGTACATCGATTTCCTCCCTGGAGTTAGAAACTCTTCCTTCAGCTCCTCTTCTCTCATTGCCGCGTTCAGGATACCACTATAGTTTCAGCTCGCCAAGATTGAGTACCATTCAGTGCTTCCGATATTTGTATCATGTCGGCATTTTAATTTTCATTATGGAACTTATAACGATCCGGCAGACACAATGGAAGAATGATCGATCCATGTGAAAGTAAAACACTTGAGATTGAGAATGCCTCGTTAGTTCAATATGCCCCACTCATAACCTGTTCCTGTGTTTATAAATGGTAAATGAATCAAGGAAGGGTTTTCGAGAGAACGAAAAGAGGAGTTCCGGTTTGCTCCAGCAGGCGATCTCCAATCGAGTTCTGACAGGTCTTCGTATTAGCCCCCGGTGCCCTGTTGTCTCGCATTTATTCTTCGCGGATGACTCGTATTTGTTCCTACGAGCTTCACGATCTGAGTGTGGACACCTTGTTGGGGTTTTGAAGCAGTATGAGGAGCTTAGTGGTCAAAAAGTCAATTTGTCTAAGTCAGCGGTTTGCTTTAGCAGAAATACGTTAGCAGCGGATAGAGAAGAGATGGGGCGTATGCTTGGAGTGGGTGCCATTGGTGTTTCAGATCAATATTTGGGTTTGCCGTCCCTGGTGGGGCGCTCTAAATTTGATACCTTTAGGTATATTGAGGAGCGAGTTATTCAACGCCTCCAGGGATGGAAGCAGCGATGTCTATCATGGGCTGCTAAGGAAGTCCTTATTAAGTCTGTTGCTAATGCTTTGCCTATCTATGTAATGTCTTGCTTCCTTCTTCCTCTGGCACTGCGTCGTTTGCTGGATAGGCATTTGGCTCGATTTTGGTGGGGAGTGAATCAGGGTGAGCGGCGGATTCATTGGGTTTCTTGGAAATCGTTGTGCTTAAGTAAACATGAAGGAGGTTTGGGTTTTAGGCGTTTTGAGGAGTTTAATCAAGCTTTGTTGGCAAAGGTGGCTTGGCGAATTTGGAAAGAACCTAACTCTTTGTTAGCTCGGGTCTTTAAGGGTAAGTACTTTCCCAACTCTTCTATTCTGGTGGCCAAGGCTGGATCTTTACCTTCTTGGGGCTGGCGGGGGGTGTTGCATGGACGTGATTTGCTGGTGCAAGGTTTGCGATGGCAAGTTGGTTCGGGTGAGTCGATAGATGTGCTAACGGACAATTGGGTACCAACGCTACATCCATCTCCCCCTACACCTCGTCCGGGGATCGTTAGGGTCGAGGGTTCAGTTGCGTCTTTAATTTGCCCGAATCAAGGGGTTTGGAGGGTGGATTGCCTACGTCAGATCTTTGAGGAGGATACTGTTCGAGCTATTGTGGCTATCCCGTTGCCTATTTCTTCGGTGCCTGATCGTATGGTTTGGAATGGGGAGCAATCTGGTCGCTATACGGTCAAGTCTGGCTATCACTTAGCAGTGGAGTTACGGAGGTATAAGGAGTTAAGGGTGAAGGCGAAAGTGCAGGTGTGGGATCGTAGTCTATGGAAAAAGGTTTGGGGGGCTCCCGTACCTCCCAAGTTGCGGTATTTCATATGGCAGATGGTTCGCGGTGTCTTGCCAACTGGTGAGGCACTGAGTTCTCGGGGGGTAGGGGGGCTGGAGCCGTGTCCAGTCTGCGGGGAGGAGGGGGAATCTCTGGAACATCTCTTCTTCCGCTGCCGAGTAGCGGTGGAGTTGTGGGAAGGGGCAGAGCTTCTGGCCATTCGCGATCGCTTCCCCCTTTGCAATGTTGGGATCTTTTGGCGCAGGTTACTCGAGTGGCGGGAGCTTGATCAGGGGGTCATGATGCATATTGTAGCCCTTTTCTGGCGCATTTGGAAGGCCCGTAATTGGGTGGTTTTTGAGTTGACTCAGTACATTGTGCCGTTGTTGTTATCTCAATTCCGTTTGCAGGTTGCAGAGTGGGATGGCATACTTACCGGCAGAGGTGTTAGTCATTACTCAGGGGTCTCAGGTGCCAGAGGCCGTCAGGATGTTCCGATGGGAGAGTTCGTCATGTTCGTGGATGGGGCCACGTCGCCTGGTTCCCATGGAGCAGGAGGTTGGGCTCTTCAGGATCCCACGGGCATGGTGGTGGCAGCATCGGCAGCTCTGTATGTGGGGATTTGGGAGCCGGCTCTTGTTGAACTACTGGCCTTCCGGGATGCGTTTCGTTGGTGCTTGGCGTTTGGATTCCAGTCGATGGTTTTTGCAGGTGACGCCCAAGTGGTCGTGGGGAAGATCCGGGATGGTGAGGTAGATGATGTCCATGGAGGGATGCTGTTGGAGGAGATTCGGAGTATGTGTGACTTGTTCCAGGAGTTTCGGGTTATTTTTGTGGGTGGGGAGTCTAATAGGGTTGCCCATTTGGTGGCAAGAAAAGCCCTTTCGTTGTCCCCTTCTTTGGTGGGGTTCAATTTTGTTTCTTGGCTGTTTTCAGCTATGTGACTTTTGTGTATCTGACTGTTTTCTCGGTAATACGAGCGATCTTTTGAGAAAAAAAAAAAAGAAAAGAGGAGTTCCGGTTCCTTGGGGTAATAAACATGGTTGACAACCCGGTTATGACCGGGCCAGTCAGACCGATTCAATCCGGACTAACGAGTCTGGGCAGCAACCCCAGTACCTTGTCATTTTGATTATGATAATAATCACGTTGCAGTCACACATGCACGCACAGAAAAGTCTTTCTTTACTTCGCCATACCCAACTCTTTCCTTCCCCGGACCTCTCCCTTCCTTCTTGAAACATCTCCCTCTCCCTTCCTCTACCTCGCCATCCCCAACTCCTTCCTTCCTCTACCTCGTCGCCCCCTCGCTCCGCCTCCCAATCCAGAGGTCGATTTCGGAGCGGCGATGGCCGTTGCTCCACCTCCTCCTTGCATGTTTCGAGCGACAACGGATTCAGATCCACGCCTCTGCCTCTGCTGCCGATCAAGAACTCCGACCATGTATGCTCGTCGTCGCTCCTCCTCTGCCTTCGGCGACGGATTTAGATCCAAATCCTCCTCTCGACGCTCTCTCCTCTTCCTCCCCAATCTACCTTAATTCGCGGACTCATATTCGGATTTGACACCCACATATGCTCGTCGTCGCCCGTCATCTGCCTCTGACGGGTCTCTCTTCTTCCTCCGCCGATGGTTCAAAATTGGGATTTTTCGGTGACATGCATAGCGATGGTGGTGGTCGGAGGTGGTGTGCGTCGGTCTCTGAATATCCGTCGTTTGAAACCGAAACCGACGGTTGCGGTTATTGGCTAACCGATGGTGCCGTCGGTCGCGGTCGCGGTTGCCGGGGTTGCCTCTTTCTCGGTGTCGCCTAACCGACTTTGCGGTTCGGTTAAAACCGAAACCGCACCGCTAACATGCCTACTTATACACTAGAAGGCTACAAGCAACTTTGTTGTATATATTAACCTTGTATCTTATATATCTAATACAAAATTTTACACAAATCATTATAAACATTAATAAAATTAAGGCAAAATACACCTGTATATCCACAACTATCACCTTTGTGCCAAATATATCCACATCTATCGAAATACATGATATATCCATTTTCGTCTTCTCCGTTACCTCCGTCAGTTAACCTGATGACTGGACAAACGGTGGTTGCTGATGTGGTGGGTTTTTTGACCCCACTGTCTGACGTGGATTAAAAGAGGGAAAAAACCCTTAAACCACTAAACGAAGCCCCACCTTCCATTTCCATCCATCTTCTCCCCTTTCGCGACTCTCTCTGTTTTCCGGCCACTCCGACGGCAAGAGTAGAGCTTCAAACCCAGAAACACGGCGGAATATCACCGATCTTCTTCGATTGACGCCTCCATCCCCCAATTAACCCTACCCCAAACCCAGTTTCCGATTCGAACCACGAACCACAACCATCGCCTCCATTTTTCGCCGACGGGTTCCATGCAGTCCGCGCCATGGTGATTCTCAGGAGCACCATATTTCCGACGAAACACAAGCACAGTGGGGAAATCTAAGGTGCACCGTCGAAGGCCAGGAAACCTGAGAAGATCGTTGCCGAGAAACCCTAATCGCGACCAAGGACAAGGAGTTCCATTTTCAGGTTAACTTCGTTTGCGAGTTTCGCATACCCTTCAAATAAGCTTGGTGTGTCTTTTGATTTTGGTTCGAAAGGTTCTTATAGTGGATTGTCTACTTTTCGTGATTCGGTGGTAGGTTTGACGGTGGGAAAGCAACATAGCGATTTCGAGAAGGGACCACTGCTGTTTGGGGAATTCTGGTTATCGTGATTTTGCCCCTTAATCCAACGGTGAGAACCTGCTTCTCCTGGGTATTTACGTATTTTAATCCTTGGGTTGTGAAATCCATATCATACAATAATGGTTTTTCTGAGTGTGTTGTTTATTTGGATGGTAGTGGGTAATAAAATATAAACCTAAGGTTAACAACTAATTAGTGGTTATGCTATTGTTAATCATGTTTGTGTTCAGATGGCTGACTCGTGGGAGGAACTGGTGGGAGAGAATGATCCAGGCAAACAGGCCGAATCACCTGATAGCTTGGCAGCAGTGGATGGAGATCAATCTGTTGCTAAAGACGTGTTCTTTGTCTATGACTCGAACGATGCAGACACTTCAGATGATGAATATCATGCTGCAAGGGACAATCTAAGGGCTTACGGGGAGATGAGAAAAAGGAAGGTGAAGGCCAGGTCTGACTACCATGGAAAAGAGGTTGAGCAGCTAGATGAGTTTGAAGAAGAAGACAGTGAGGGTGAAGAAGATGATGAGGTTGAGCATGGTGGCCAAGATGGTGATGCCGAGGCTGGTTTAGATGTTGCAGATCAGGGCAGTGAGATACCTGAGCAAGCAGCCCAGAACAACGACGAACCTCCAGCACATGAAGCAAGGGAAGAGATTTCCCAACATTCCAGCTATCGTGGATCAGAAGATTCAGATCATGTTAGGCCTAATTTGTCAGACGAGGATGGTGGTGAACCGTTTGCTAATGCTCCCCATTATGATCCAATGTGTGATCATACTCAGTTCCAGTTTGTTCCTCGGCTGAAGTTTGCAAATGTGGAGCAGTTCAAGAATGCAGTGGTTTTGCATTCTGTAGCAGCCGGAGCTTGTTTGAGATGGAAGAGGAGTGAACCATCCAGAAGGGAAGTTAGATGTAAGGATGAACGATGCAAGTGGAGGGTCTATGCTAGCTGGTTTAGAAAGAACCAAAGTTTCATGGTCACGAAGGTGGGACTCAATCACACATGTGCACGTAACCTAAGGGTGAATCAAGTAACGGCAGCTTGGATTGCAGCTGATATGTTAGACAGATTTAGGATAAATCCAGAGTGGGCTCCTGATCAGATAATGGCTGAGGTCAAATTGAAGCACAACATGGATGTTAAGAAGAGTACCTGCTATAGGGCGAAGGTAGAAGCTATAAAGATGTTGAGTGGGAGTTTGGTAGTTGAGTACGAGGCTGTGAGGAGCTATATAGCTGAAATGGTCAAATGGGACAGACATGGAAGGTTCATCTTGGAGGTGGATCCACATCCCAGTCAAGAGAAGGTGTTTTTCAAGAGGCTGTACGTAGGGTTCTCTAACCTGAAAGAAGGTTTTCTCAGGGGCTGCAGGCCAATGTTTGGTTTAGATGGGTGTTTTTTGAAGGGGGATGTGAAAGGGATGCTTCTAACTGCTGTGGGTAAAGATGGAAATAATCAGATGTATCCTATCGCGTGGACTGTAGTGGAGGGTGAGAATGCAGATTCTTGGAGGTGGTTCTTGAACACTTTGTCTCAAGAGTTAGGCATGGTAGACGGAAGAGGTTGGAGTGTCATTTCTGACCAGCAGAAGGTGAGAAAGTTTCCTCATCATTTAAGTTCCAAATGTCAGTTTCAATCATTTATACTTTACACTTCTAACTGTTTAATTTCTAAATGTTTTCATTGACAGGGACTTGTTGAAGCTCTACGTGATCTCCTACCTGAAGTTGAGCATAGAAAATGTGCTAGGCATGTTTATGCAAATTGGAAGGCAAAAAACAAAACAGATGCTGTGAGGAAAAGCTTCTGGAAGGCGGTCTACTCATGTAATGAAGTAGATTGGAAGGCGGCTTGTGCAGAATTGCAAGCCATAGAAGCAACGGATCCATCCACAACACCCTATAAAGACCTCATGGATCAAGAGCCTAGGTATTTCTGTCGAGCATTCCTATCCCCTATTCCCAAATGTGACTCTGTGGAATCCAATATATGTGAAACGTGGAATGAATCCATAATCAAGTATAGGGGAATGAGGCTGATTGACATGCTTGAGGGTATTAGGGGTATTTGATGGATAGGTTTGTATTGAAGTACAAAATGTTGTATGATAACCCTGATCAGCTATGCCCTAGAATTAGGAAGAGAATTGAGAAGGAGAAGGCTCTTGCTAGATTGTGCACTTCTAGGCAAACATTAGATGACAAGTGTGAGGTTAAGATGGGAAGTCGAGGGTACATTGTCGACCTCAACAATCGTAGCTATAGTTGTGGGTATTGGGCAGTGAGTGGATTACCATGCTGACATGCTGTTTCAGCAATCTCACATATGAGGAAAGACGTTGATTCGTATGTTAGTCAATGCTACTAGACTCATGTGGTATTGGATACATACAAGGTAGGCATTCCTTGTTTCGATGGGAGACAAGAATGGCCAGAGGCCTTTGGCTACCCTGTGCTCCCTCCAAAACAAAGAGCTATGCCTGGAAGGCCTAAAAAAATAGGAGGAAAGCAGCACATGAGTTTGAGGTTCGACCTCAAGCGCATGGAGTGGGTGAGGAGGTCTCAAAAAGGGGAACCCTAATCCATTGTGGCAAGTGTCGTGCAGAGGGCCATAATGCACGAACTTGCAAGTTTCCCACAGTCGTTGAAACACCAAGAACCGTAAGTACACTTTAGTCCGTAATTTAAATGTTTGTGGTAGTAATTTTCCATTGCTAATCTTTTGTTTTTTATATTGGCAGAGGAGCAGGATCCTTCCTAGATCGAGGGAGGCCACGCAACAACAACCTGCCTCAGCAACTGGAAAGAGGACAAGAGTGTCCCATTGCAGCAAATGTGGCTCTGCCACACATAATGCTAGAACATGTCCCCTTAATCAAGGGGCTAGAATTCAGGTATTATATGAACTAGGCTTTTGCTAGAGTGTGAGATGCAATGATTCTGATGTGTTGTATCATTGTAGCAAGTAAGGCTAAATGTGGATGATTGAAGAACCATAGAACGTGAGATGAGGGTAGCAACAAGAGGAATAGGAGTCTATGTAGATGAAACTACTGGCAACCAGTATGTTAGGGTAAGTTCCAAATTCATCAGAATGATCCTTTTGGAAGCAATTTGTGTCTAAATTTGTGACTATCTACGTTTTCCTTTTTAGCTGAATGGAGCACGTGGACGTGCAGTGGATGTGGGTCAACCTACAGTGGTAGATTTCCAGGGAAGTCAGCCCCAGCAACACAACCAGAGACTTGATGAAAATAGACAGTCGACTTTTAAACATTTTGAGCCCCATGTAATGACCTCCGAGGAGGGTATTTTGGAAGTCGACTTAGTTGTAGTGGTTAATTGCTATGTAACATGACGTGGGGTTCTACTTTAAAACATTAGGAATGCTATGTATTAGGGGGTGACTCAAGTAGTATTATTAGGGGATGCTTGAAATATGTACTTTGTTCAAGACTACTTTGTTCCAGACTATTTGGTCCATTTCAATATCAACTTTCATTACAGTCACAACATTCAAATACAAAAGCACATTACACAGACTACTTGTTCCATTATACAAAAGCACATTACACAGACTACTTGGTCCATTTCAAATACATTCAAAACAATCACCCTGTTGTTACACAGACTACTTCCCCCCATCCTCTACAAACAAATTTGGTTCCTCCACAAAAAGAGAAGAAAGAAAACATTGGAAACTATCACAATGCCTATCATTAAGCGAATAGCCCGAATATAATCGTTCAATCTCCTTCCTTGAGCAACCATATCTTTGATCAACGCATTTTTCTCCTTCTTCCTCCTCTCCGCCTTGGACTCAGCGAGGCGCAATGCATCTTCCAACTGTATTATTATTGCCTCAAGATCCTGGTTTCCTTCATCAATCCTCTCGACCCACCTAAAAAACCTACACTTCTGTTTCCCATCCACATTCTGTACCAAGAACCATCCAGTCAACAAACCAAAACTGCCTGCCTGGGTTGGTCGAGGTGCCTGATGTCTTAACGATAGCGGGAACATTGTGCTCGCAAAGAACCACCCCACCGCTGTTGATGCTTGTCGCAGATGAAGATCAACGCTTTGACATCTTGAGAAAAACCTCGCCCAACTCGGATTCGCTCCTACCTAAAGTGATTCGTGTCGCGAAGTTGTCTGATGACTGCCGCCGGTGACGAGGTTGCTCAACGCACGCAGCGACGTCCTCTCCGACGTCGCCGATTTTGAATTCGAACCAGAACCAAGTCCAAGGATGAACCCTAATTTTTTCGATTGGGGAAAGGGGGAAGTCGGGAAGAGAGAAGAGCCCGATAGATTAAATAGGGGAAGTGGAAATTTTGTTTTCGTTTTTATTCATAGGGGAAGTGGAATTTTTGTTTTCGTTTTTATTCATTTAAAGTTTTATTGAGTCAGCATCCACGTGTAACGTTTTATTACTTTTTGGCTTATGTGGCAAGTGATACGTCATTGAGTCAGCATTCCGTTAGTGTCTGAGACGCCGTTAAAGTTTCAGACGGAATTGGATATATTTGTCACACGGCCCTCTGATTATTGGATATATCGTGTATTTCCATAGTTGTGGATATATTTGTCACAAAGCTGAAAGATGTGGATATACAGCTGTATTTTTCCTAAAATTCATTTTATATACTTATATTTTTAAGCATGTAAATGTTTAGTATTAGTTACCAATTCTTAGCTATAAAATATTTTGTTTGAAATAATTTTTCTAATTGCTTTTTGATGACTAATTTATTTGGAATTGAGGGATTTTCATTTGTCTCATATATTTTATTAAAACTGGCACAACCGGTATGATTACTAGTTGTACCATGGTCAGACCATTCCACTTTCAAAACCCGCACACCGGCATAAACCGGTTTGACAACCTTATTCCACACATAATATAACTGGTCACATAACATTGTCAAAATATTAACCTAGCATACAAAGATTCATAATAGTACATAAGTCATAACTCATACCCTAACTCCAATCATAAGAAGATACACAATAGTTTGCTTACTAAGTTCTACCATATAAAAAAATAATAGGATACAAATCCATAGCTAACATTGTCACATCTTACATACCAGCAAAATAGGTTCACAAATTAAAAGGACAATTCACTTGGCGATCAATCAACAAGCTTCACTTCTTCTCCATCATACTTTGCATCTTCATTATCCTCATCTGTACAATTAGTCATTGAAAGTAAAAACACCATTGTAAGTAAACTCTCACCTACTTTAGCATACACACAAACATAAAGAATATAAATTTTCTTTCCCATTTTATATCCATGCATCCAATTACGAGTTGTCACAAGAGCTTCAAGGGTATCAGACAAAATGGAAGTCCTCCATTTGGATAATATTCTACCTCCCAAACTAAAAGACGACTCTGAAGCAACTGATGAAATTGGAATAGAAAGCACATCTTTTGCCATCCGAGAGAGTTGAGGATATCGAAATTGATGATCCTTCCAATATTACAATACTTCAAAAGGAAGCAATGTGGTAACCCCATCAATGTCTGCATAAGTAGGAATTAAATGATCCGCCAAATATAATTCCAACTCAGATCTAGTTGATGTGTTTTGATTGATATTGGAAGCATAGAAACCCTGAAAATAATTGATATAACTACATATTATCAATAATCAGACATAAGATCGAAAGGAGTATAAACAACAAGATGACTCAAAAGGTAGTTAGAAAACTATACTTACAGCAGTGTGGCTATCCAAAGGAATGCTCGAAGAAGTCATATGCACTACACTTTGAATAGGTAAAGTGGATAATTAAGTTTTATACTTTACTGTATTTTCTTCATTATATTTGCTTAAATGTTATGTAATGGGCTCAATTCTCAACTATCAAGACTCAAGAGATGGTTTCATAGGTTTATGATCAAGCAAGTTGTCAGTTTTTTAATTTCTGGTTGCTCAACTATTTATTTTTGTTGGTTTTGTAACCTTAACGAATCCTCTGCATAGTACCAACAACTAGCAACATCAAACTTGTTTATGATATATTCAAGCAAAATCTAGTCACTCATTTGTTTAATAACGTACCTTCATGTTTTTTTCATTACAATATGGTGATCGGTGAGTTTGTTTTAAATTAATGTAATAAATAATTATAAAAAAAACTCGATGGTTTGGACCGAACAACCTGCAACTGGACCTGTTGTAACCCGCAATCCGATCAACCCGAACCTGATTGATCCGCAACCTAATCAACCCAAAACCCGGCTGATCCGCAACCCGATCTACCCGAACCCGATTTGCCTGCAACCCGATCAACCCGCAACCCAAACTCGCTTGACCCGCAACCCACTTGACCCGCAACCTGATTAACCCGCGACCCAACTGAACCCAACCAGAACCCACCCGATTGACACCTATAGTTGCGGCAGTGGAGGAAAAGTGTATGATTCAAAGTAAATTACGGTTTAGTACTAATAAAAAAAAAAAAAAACTTACTTGCTCGATAGTGTTAAGGGCGAAATCTATTGACATTATTACTAAAATAACTTAGAGATGGCAATTTATGAGCATCATTCTGCAGACGAAAAACCAGCAGGCGTGGAGAGAAACCTTAGGAAATTTAATGGGTTAATATATTTTGTACTCTTCTACTTTGGTAAATTAAAAAACGTATCTCACTACTAAATTTTTGCACAAGTGTACCCTTCTAATATTAAATCGGGTCATAGGTATAATATGCCTCTCTATTATGATGTTTTATCAAACATGTCCCTTTACTATTTTTTACGTCAAACATGCCCCCTGTACTTTGTAAAAATTATCAAATATGCACTTTTGTTAAAATTTTCATCCAAAAACCATTAACCAACTCCGAACTTTAGTTTGGGCGACAAAAATGTCTAAAATATCCCTAATAATTTCACTCCAAATTTTTTTTGGTTCTTTTGTATAGCCAAATAATTCAAATAGTTTCACTTTGAAGAGGCCCAGAGAAATAAAACGGGGTACAAAATTGATATTTATCCTCCCATTTGCCAATGTCGGGTCGTCTAAATCTCGGTTCAACAATGATTGACGATTTTTTCTATGAATAAGGGCATGTTTGATAATTTTGTCAAACTACATGGGCATGTTTGTTGTGAAAAATAGTAGAGGGGCATGTTTTATAAAACGTCATAGTCGAGGGGCATATTATACCGGGACGAGATACGGTGACAACCCCTAAGGGGGTTGTCAGATTCACAACCCACTTCATAGCCCTTGGATACGCTCTCTCTCCTGTCTCTTTTTTTTTTTAAATTAACTGTTAAGATTAAAGGAATGATATTTTTGGAAGGGTAAAAATTTACCACACCTAATCATTTATCCTACCATATAAAAAGAACAAAAACCCTAACTCCTCCATCCTCCCTCTCTCTCTCTCCTCCCTCTCTCCCGTAGACATCACCGTCTCTCCTCCCCCTCTCTCCGCCGCCACAACCCTCCCACCACCGCAACTCCCTCTTCCTCTCCCATTCCCACCGCCGGCTGTCCTCACCGCCCTGCCGTGCGCCTGCTGTCCCTGCCGCGCCGCTGTCCCCGCCGCTCCTGCCGCGATACGCTGCCCATAAGCTCACTGTCGTGCCAAGCTGACCCCGCCATCATTTTTATGTTGCCGCCGCCGCGAGGTCAAGACTCTTCCCTGCCTCCCTCTTTCCTCATCCCTATTTTTTTCCAGATCTGATAGTCTCTACTGGTACCAATACCACTGGTAGCGCTATTGGTACTCTACCACTACTCACTGGTACCAATACCAGTGGCTCCCCTATCATCTGGTACCACTATCAATTTTTTTTTTGTTATTCTCTACTGGTACCGCTACCAATGCTAGTGGTAGCGCTACCAGTGCCAGTAGCGTTGTGTTATTCTCTACTGGTAGCGTTGTACTAGTAGCGTACCACTAGTACTGGTACATTTTTTACTGGTACCGCTAGTACTGGTACATTTTTTAACGAACTGGTAGCGTACCACTAGCACTGGTATATTAATTACCAGTAGACTAATAGATTGGTACACTTTTTAACGCACTGGTACATTTTTTCAGGTTGCCGGAGGGAGTCTGACGGAGAGAATTCACCGGAGAAAAAGTTTGTCGGTCGATGCGGAGTGGCCGCTGGAGAAAGGAAGATAGAGAGAGAGATAGAGATATTAATGTATAGGATTTAAATTTAAAAAAAAAATGTATTTAATATGGATTTTTAATTCCCAATATAATTAATACAAAAGAGGTAATTAATATATTCCTTTTTTCATACCCAAAATACCCTTGTCACCGTATCACGTCCCATATTATACCTATAACCCTATTAAATTGTAACAAGTTTATC